GAGGTGCTAGCAGCGGTAGGGCGTGCGAGGAAGCGTGGGGTTTTAATGCCTGTTGTCCTGCCTCTTTTGTTTTCCCCCCTTCTTTTCGTGTTTTTTACCAGTGCCCGTGGCAGTTAGGTTTTTTTGCCGCCACAACGTTAAGGTTTTTTGCTCGAAAAACGCATCTTCTGTGAAACAATCTCTTGTGCCTTTCAGTTTATTTTTGTTTTTCTTTGCAGAGCTCGTGGACAGATGCATAGGTTCACGCATTTGTATTGTGATGAAGAGTGACAAGAAGTTGTTGGAACGCTTCTAGGATTTGATGACTCTGTATCCTTTGACGGAAGCGTTTAATGCTGTCCGGTTTATGCTCCAGCTCAGTTATGTTACTGCTTTTGGGAGGTTTGAGTTCACCGGATAGAAGAGCCTTTTTGTACAGGTCACTTGTATTATTCTGTTTTTTTATTTTACAGATAAAATCACAGCTCAGTATAAAATGGAAATAACTTTAAATAGTTTTATTTTAAAATTTGGGGCCTTATTTTCCTTGAAACTGGATTTTCAGGTACAGTGATAGAAGACGTTACAGAATTGTAAGTATTGTTCCTACCTCTTGTTTAGTTCCCTGAGGAAAAATATTGTGTAAGATCTATAAGCAAAGTGTTTTTATATTTTTTGAATACTTGCCAGCTGAATGGTTTGCACCTTGGACTTAAACTATAGAGGGTGATCTATTCAGGACAGCCATGTCATAGAGTAGCTGTTGCATGATTTATACTTGTAATCAGGTTCCTAATTTGTAGCCTCAACTTTGTGTGGATTGTGTGTTGAACTTCCTGGTAGTTTGTTTGCTTTTACATTTCCTTAAGGTCTAGGCAAAGATTTAGAAAGTTAGCAGACTTAAAGCTAAGTTTTTATTACTTTGTTGTGCCATGTTGCTATTCAAAACCTATTTTGAGGTTTGCCAAGATGTAGAGGGTGAATCTGTATCCTTATGTGTACTGAGCAGAAAAGTACAACGGATCTTTTTAGTTGCCAGGTAGCTTTCTTTATCCGGGTGGTCAATTTATCAAGATTACGCCACAGTGTGGCCAGCTTATTTGTTAGTTCCAACAACTGTCATCTTAATGTAGAGATTTATGTCAGTTCTGTAATCAAAACTGGAATCGTTGTCCCTGGTTATATGTTCTTCCTTACTTTTTCTAATGCTGCTTCAGTGAGATTACACCTGAGGGCAGAAGAATCACAAAGCTAGACCAGATTTTGCTAAATGGAAATAACATAACAATGGTAAGTCATCGTTGTTAAAAAGCTGCATGCGTTTATTTTCTGTACCTGTAAATCGATCAGTAATTGAGTTCAACTACTTTAAGCTGTGCTTTCCAGACAGTTCCATTATATAAGGTACTTTTAAGTAGCTTCCAGGGCATATGTGTGTATGAATGATGCTGGAAAAGTGGTCTTATTGTCTTAGTTGGTATATGTTACAGTTTATTAAAAAAAAAAAAAAAGGAGCACAGCCCTAATTTTATCTTGGTGAATGTTCTTCTGGTCTTCAGGTGTGCAAGGGAATCACTGGCTTTGTTAAGCACTCCATAGGCTGGTTCATACATTGGCTTTTAACTCGTGAGTGTTTGCCTGCGTAAGTGTGTAGGTGGAATGCATCTACATTTCATCCATTATTGTATGTATAAATGTGTTTGTAGCAGTTTGGATGCTTACAAGGTTGTTAAGTTGTTTGGCAGTTACGATACCGTGTGATGCCCAGAGAGCTGTACCTTTACGTGCTCTGAAAAAAATCTGGAGGTCTGTTGGATTATACCAAATCAGAAGCACTATAATTTTTAGTTTATCATCTGCTGTAGATGTACTGATCTGTATGCAGATCAGTACTGAAACAGTAATTAAATGTGTGATTATGCATCCCTAAACTGAATTCCTAAATACCACAGAAGCAGACCCAGAGTAGTTTTTTGCTTGTCTGCATAGATGGCTACAAAGTCTGGACTTCCTACGTAAGGGTATTCCTAATTTTGTGGGAAGAGGAGAGGAAGACCGACTTGAGTTGAAGTCAGCTCTGTGCGAACGAGAAATAATATCCATTTTGCTGTCTTACCTACCTTGCACCTCCTCACTGTGTGTCTGAGCAAGTGCCATCTTGACTTAATTTCTAAACCTTTTTCTGCTTTCGTTATTGTTCTGCCTCCTGAAAGGATAGTGCTTGTTCTGACTTCTTGTATGGGGTAAAATTATTACCATCCAGTTAAGTTGGTGGTATACTGCCCTTGAAGCAGAAGCCAGTGATTCTTAGAGTGCAAATTTTCAGTGAGATGTAGATATGTTTCTGTATTAGATCTTGTGTCTCTTTTGCAGACACATCTTGCCACGTCAGGAAGACTATATACTTTAGACTTTTTCTTACTTCAGTCCCGAAAGCAGCAATGCTCTTTATCTTTGGAAGTGCTCAGCTAATTATTAAGAATGTATCAGTAAAGACAATGGTTGTCCTCTTCTTTTTTCCCTTACTCATGTTTTTCCTTTTGTATTTATTTTTCTGTTGTTCAGTTCTTTACTTTCTTCCCAGGAAAATTACTTCCTGCTGCCTGTAGAAGGGTTCAGGCTCTTTATTAGTTTTTGGGCTCTGCTTAGCAATAGAAGTTGGAAAGAGGAAGTCAGCTTCCCAGTACAGTGACAGTGTGGGGAGGAATTGGCAATTGGAGAACTTCTTCATGAAAGGAAGGATGTTCTTTGTTGTTTTAAAAATGAGCTGTAGTGTTTCTAGACAGAATCATCTCCTTGAAGTGAATAACAAAGACAAAAACCAAAATGTATGTTATCTAGGAACTCCTTTGTGTTTTGTTAAACATTCTTTGTATTTTGGAGATTCTTTGTGGCATGTGCTTCTCTGGCAGTAACTGACTTCCTCTGTTGGGAGAGGAAGATAATATTGAATCTAAAACCCACTTTTGTGGTCTACAAATGCAGTCTCCATCTGCTGAAATGTTGTAGAGCAGGAACTGTCACGTATGGGTTTGTAAAACTCAAATCTATGGCACTAATACAAAATTGTCGTCTTCTTTTATAGCTGGTTCCTGGAGGAGAAGGACCTGAAGTATAAATTGACACAGTTGTCATCTGTGAAGACATGTTACATATATATATATGTAATCTAAACAGAGGTTTTGGGGTATGGGTGTGGGTGGGTTTTGACGTGGGTTGTTTGTTTTGTTTACACACTCTTGCAGTTGACATTTCATAAAAGACAAGGATTTCCCCCTCAGGAAAGGTGCATTGCTAATGATAATGCTGATTTTCTAAGTTGCAATCATGACTTTCTTGTAAAGATGCACTAATTTTTTCTGAATAAAAGGCTTTCTTTTTGTTAGTTACTGTGTTCTGTGATGTAAGTGCACGAGTTAGTCTTATAACTGGTTGATGGAATGGAAAAATAATAGTTATGTTCCAGTTGCTGTCAGTCTTCAGTTTTTCTACATCTGTTGCATTTGCTTATGGCCCAAATCTATATAAAACCCAAGTCGTGAGCCAAGAGATTGCTATTCTTTGCAGTACAGGCAGATACTAAGCTGGATCATTTGTTTAAGCACTGCTTTAGGCTGTGTGCCGTAGAATTCTGAAAGCTCTTCAAAGTGGATGCATCTGTTTGATGCTCAGCAGCCTTTGGTTCTGCTGGCCTTGAGGTTCAGCTCTCTTGGACTTCTTGTTCTTGGCAGGTGTACTTTCTTAAAGTAAAGACACTGTAGTGGTATTTGGCAAGTGAGGACACACAGACCAGGCAGACCTCGTTCGTGTCCGTGGGAGGGCGCGGGAAGGTTGGTGTTAAAACTTCTCATTCCTGTCAGTGGTGACTCCGCTCTCACCACTAAGCGGTGCTGTGTATCTATACTTAATTAAATTGGGAGCTGCCTGTGCCTGCCTGCTTGTGTAGTTCAGAGTAGTCATTTTAGAGAAAACGTTCTTTTGGCTGCATTTGTTCTCCTGTGATAGAAAAACTTGACAGCTATTGGGGTAACTACTACTTTAGGACAACTTCTATAAAGTAAGAAATTGCTGTTTTTATTTTGTCATGATGCACAAAAAAGTAACTGATTCTAAATCATGTCCACTGCAGCTTATGCTTCCGTAACACGCTACTCGGCTGATTTCTATGTGTAAATATCTTTGGGGAGGTGTGTGGATTGTCCGGCTCACAGTTCACAAATGAGTTTCACCATGTCTAGTAGTGCACGCAGGCAGCTCATGGGGGGTAACAAAAGCGACCCAGCCTTGGATTGCCTTGAGGCCCTGTCTCTCTGCAGAGACGACTCACTCATGGGGACCTGTGTAGACAGCTTAGCCCTGGGCTGTCTGATAAACCCTAAACTAAACAGGGCGGTGGCTGTGCCATTCAAAGAACCAAAACCTGAACTGAGCCTTGAAATCCCTTAACAAATAGTATGCCCTGAGTCTCAATCCAACCACTATTCAGTTGCCTGAGGAAGCAAGGTAAAAAAAACCCCAAACCTGGAGGGTTTCAGCTTCAGTTTCAAATGACAACCTTGTGTGTTCAAACAATCACAGACCAACAAAGGAAAGGTAAGGGGAAGCTCCACTCAGATATACATAATCCATTTAGGCTTATATCATAATCTACTCAGACATAGTCAT